GCAGGTGGATGCTAGTAAAGATCCTGTCTGTGGATTCGCAGTGCCTTCGGGATCGCAGCGTGCTCCTGGAAGAGGTTTCTGCTCAAAAAGCATACTCAGGCAATTAAGCTAGGAATCCCAGAAGATTCTTCCTGCCGCATTGAGAAGACGATGTCTCGGTTGTTGCCACATAGTTACATCTTCCCCGTTTGTTTATACATGTATCTAATAATATCATCTTTGAAGTCTTAGGGAATTTGCCATTGTTACCCTTTCTCATGAATCAGCGAGACAAACTTTTTCACGAGTTTTAGGTCTCTGGAATTGTAATCCTCGAATAAATGTGAGTTTCCAGTCGGTGCCTTTACACCTGACACTCGTTGTACTGTATCGATTGTTTCAACGAGGGAAGGTAGAAGATCCAGATCGCGGCTGTTATCAAAATAAGGCATTCGGTTGATATTTCCTTTGTATGTTTTCGACGGGTGTTTAAGGACGCCCTGAAAGTGTGTAATCCAGCCCACCAGTATCAATGACACCTTCGTTAAGGGGCCTTCGTATCTTGACTTAGCAATGTTTTAATCTCATTATCTAGTGAACCGTATACTGCGTTGTTGGCCGAGAAGAAACTTCTCATCTCATCATGTAGAGATGTGATTGATCTCCCGAGTCCTTTGAGTCAGTCTATCGTTCTGCACCTCTCCCAGCCTCTGCGCTGTCAGGTGTCGGCATCGGATGTGGCCATATTATCGTTGCAAGTGTTGGTGATGAGGATCCTGCGTAGTGCGTGTTTGTTCGTAAGGGAGTTGGCCTATTTCTTTGTCATTGCCACTAAACCAATTCAGATACAGACTGCTTGAGCGGTCTAATGTCCGCATCTTGGTGGTTTTGGTGGTATTAATAGCCTCCTCCATTGCAGTCCGACATAAATACTTGTCTCCAAGATTCGCAGTTCTTCCACTATGGAGTTCGTAAGGCTTCCAAAACTAAATCGCAGTTCGGTCGCATCAAATTAGACAATATTTAACTCACTTGCTGCTTACCCACATTACGTTTGCTTGTGTGATGATGGCTGGGACCCAAACTTGGAGATGGCAAGGCGGGACCAGCCCACCAGTCGACATCAGACTTCGCCTTTGTCACGAACAATTCCCGTTTGTCACACCTTCAAGTCAGGGAGTACTCAAAGAGGTGCCATTGACACGAGAGACCCTGCATCTACGTAACTCTCCATCGCACCAGGAGGCGGAAGATGGTGTTGATGAGGAGACGATTGTATCCCACACAGGTCTCCAGAAAGATAAACCATTGTTGCTGCAGCTGCTGTCTCACGACTCCCCAGGACTCACTCCCAGCATGGTCATCGCTGACTTGGGAAGTGGATTGATCAAAGTCAATCAGCTTATCTGACCTTGGAAAAATTGCTAGAAGGGTATGCGGGTTCTCGCATAACGCGCCCCTCACATAATCGGATTAGGTTATTGAGAGGGCATAGGCGTTGACGATGGTGGGGAATTGGCGCTCATGGTGTGGTAGCCTAGTAGTCATAAGACAGTCACTGACGTCTTGTAGTAGGCATGTAAGCTGCCCCCCCCCCCGACGTCGTTAGTGGTGGAAATGATGACTATGGAATCTCGTCGTTTTTCCCTTGGACTTCTATTTCAGAAGAAATTTCATACTGCACCTACGTCTTTCAGTTGTCCCTGCTCGGAGAAGCGAGTATAAGTGACAGTCGCTACTTATATTTTGTAGGCAGCCAGTTCGCGGACAGTGCAGCTGTCAAATAGAAGTGGAGCTGTCCTCCCTTCCAAACGGTTTGTCATTGGACCATTTAAAGGGAGACAAGCATTACGGGCTGTCTGAGGGAGCACTGTCACCATGGCAGTCTGTAAAGCAAGTATATATTAGAACGGTGTAGTTGTTGCAAGTTTTCATTTTTCGACCGTTTTTTGAGTCCGCAGTTCATGGTCAGATTGCCGGCAGCGTGTTTTACTAGTAATGCTTAGGATACCTTTTTTGGTCCTCTGCCCTGCCAGGGGGTGAGCAGTTCTGCCTCTCGATAGAGCTGCTTAGTCAACCCAAGCGGCTGCCGAATTCTGCTACAGCTCAAGTTTTCCCTTTAGTGAGAAAGCGATCCGAATTAGTCTGAGCCCTCCAGGGGCTCCTACGTACCTCTCGTAGGACATCTGGTTTGGAGTGGCGGAGTTATGAAACTCATCCGAGGACCATTGGGTTTGAAGATACAGACTGTGGATAGCTCCCTCTAGTTTGCCCTACCGATTTAGGATGGTCCCCAGGATATGGCTGCCGTAATATGAGCTGATTACTGGGAAGGCCGACGTCCAAGCATTCAGCGGGGTCACCGTTGCATTTAACGGTACCTCTCAGTGTGCTGCTTATAGGCAATTTTTGCAATCCTAATAATGCGTGCCCGGTCGGCGTCGACTATGTCACATCGTCGTGCATATTAGTTGCTGGTAGTACACGTGCAGTCAAGTATACCCTCCAATGTAAATTTGTGCGACGTGTATTCAAACGCATCAAGGATCCTGATGTAAGAACACAACTGCAACGCCCACGGTACCTCGTACACTCCACGCACACTTGCTGACTGCAAATCGCACGAATCACCTATTTGTTGAAGCATTCGGATATATGTGAATGAATTTAGGTTGTTTCTACCAGGCTTGTGAATATGATGATTTTTTTCCATATGTAGAGGCAAATCCATGTCTACATTCTCATTATCGCGAGGCGAGCTTATCGCTGCCTCGCTTGGGCGACAGTCGAGATTTAGAGTTCGGGCCTTTGCCTCCGAGTTGGCATTCAGTGTTTTACTCGCTAGGCCCACTTTGTTTCGCGGAGCTGTCTCAGGATAAAGATTTAAGTCTAGTGGCTTTGTCCAGAGCTTGGTTTAGTAAAGGCGTTGCCATCGCTTTTGCGCCCTTAATTGGTTCTTATTTCCAGATATGCTACCTCATTCTTTGGTCCGACACATTTCTTCGCGGTCTGCCATCTGATGTTCCGAACCTCTACCTCTTCCTCCATCACAACCTCTTGCATTCGCTCTTTTTTGACAGGCGGAGGGCAGGACTATTGTCAATACATGTCAGTGGACATCTAGAAATTCTTGGAAGAGATACGGACACCCTCTCAAATTTCTTCCACTTAAAAGGTATCTTTTAAAATTAGCGAATATTTTGCCCTATTGACACAAGATAGTTCAATGACAAAGTGCTTATCCTTGCGATATTTTAAATTACCAGTTATGTTAAATCCACCCACTCCTTATAGGCTTGCATTGTGGCCAAATAGTATGCCAGTCAGTTTAAATCCGTTTATTAAGGAAAGGAGGCTTTCGCCCTTCAGCTCCCTATTCATATCGATAAACAGAAATAGAATCAATAATTACATCAGCAAGTACGGAAATTTAAATGTTACCGGTAAGTGTGAGCAAGGCGTCGCTAAAACAATCAAGATTATATATACAGTAGTTTCTCAGGAAATGAGCATCCAGTCTACACTCAAAAGATTTGACAGTTTCGGAAAGAAACACCGCACCAGGGAGCCCGTTCCATGCCCCAATGACCCTGTGAGAGAAGGCGTGTAAAATGAAAAAAAATACCATATGGTCCTTACGTCCCAATGGGAACATGAATGGTGATATTTTTGTTACTGTTAAGACATTTCACAAAACAAAATACCGAAAACTAGCCTTTGACTTTTACGCGTTTCAGATACGAGCATAATACGCTCTGGAAGAAGCACCCGAGGGACTTCATACGGACAGAGATTTTGAAGGTCGACTTCAGGTAATAGGTGCTGAAGTCGCTCACTTCCTTGAGGCCAGATCAATTACGTAGTTACCCCAAATACGCTATTAGGTGTTAGTCAACGACACTGAACTTTACTCAACGGTCGTTAGATAGCAGGTTAACGTGGGCAGAGAAACATTTCCAGTGGTAAGTAAACAAACGGTTTTCGTGCTCCAGTCGAGCCCGAAGAGAGTCGTAGACTTACTAATGTCTACCAATGTTCTTACGCGTATTCAAGACCGACATTCCCATTCAATCTCGATTGTTATGCCCCATGTGACTTTTAATTTCTTCAGAAGTAAATCGCTAACACAGAGAAAGTCAATCTGAAGCAAACTTTATAGGCCACGACCGAAAAGTTACACGAATATTTGGACCGAAGTCCATCAATCACGACGGAATAGCCGCGTAATATTCATAGGGTCAACAGTCGGTCAGTAGCATGTACGTAGGTTACATAATACAAAGTAATTGACAGCACAGGTACTACCCAAAAGCCCAGACACGTGTTCCGCCGATATCCAGCCGCTGCATTAAACGGCCGCAAGGAGTTCAGAGCGTGTCCGGTATTTTGACCTGTTCCGTTCATTTAGACTCTATATTTATCGACAAAATTCTGCATATATATTTGCTTGCTGCTCTGTTCCACCGGTTTTGCGCTTCAGCATCGTTTTTTACAGCTTTTGTCGTGCTAACCTGTCATCTAGGTTTCTCCGTTTCCCCCTCATCTCTTTTTGGGTCGCGCATTCTTTCGTGCTTTTCCGCGCCAGTCGCCATTTATCTTCTACCAATTCAGACGTACCCTATGCATCACTTTAATAAGTTTGCGTGCGATACTTCCACAGACCTGCAAGTGGAGGTGTCGTTCTAATGAAGTCTGCGGATTTGACAGAGGGCCTGAAAATTTGAAATGTTTTTATCCCGTCGTCTACGAGTAATTGGCCAAATTCCGCAAATATACTGTTATGATTTCAACACCATACTGTTTGCATAACTTTGGAGTAAAAAAATAAAGAGACGCAGTTTTTTAGACAAGTTCAGATGGCTGAAATGAGATAATCAGTCTGGCACCTTGAGTTACTTATCATCCTGATTAAACACACTTTGTTTGAGTGCACCCCTTTGTTTTCCGCGGCACTTTAGTTTGAGGCGTGTTGCTCCCAAAGGGCTAAGGTTCGTCTGACAGCTTCCGCCGAACTACATACAATGGAAAGTAAATCCGAACTTGCATGCGTGTACGCCGCTCTAATTCTGGCCGATGATGATGTCGACGTCACAGGTAGGTTGACTTAATGCTCTAGTTTCCCGTAGCCGACAAAATCAACGCTATCCTTAAAGCAGCCAACGTAAAATTCGTCGAGCCGTACATGCCAGGACTTTTTGCTGGCGCTTTAGCCGGGCGTAATGTCAAGGAGATGATTGCGTCCATGGCCGCGCCTGGCGCTGCTGCTGCCGCCCCGGCAGCCGCCGCCCCCGCCGCTGCTGCTGCTGCTGCTTCCGAATCAAAGGGGAAGGAAGCCGCTCCCGCGAAGGAGGCTGCGAAACCCGAGTCTGAAGAGTCCGACGATGACATGGGCTTCTCTCTGTTCGACTAGGCCTGTAAATAATACATCTGGATTTGCCACTCAATTGGAACTGCCGTCTCTTTTTTGCATCTTGGTGCCTAGAACTAGTTATCAAACTTGCCGGTGTATATGTTATTTCGAACGCGCCTGTATCTTAACATTCACAGGACTCGGGTTTAGTTCATTTCTCGAGATGCCTAAGGGGATATTTTGATAGTAGTTTGCTGTCGCGACCGCGTTCTCTGTTAAATCACAAAGTGATCTTGAGGGTAGGAAGCTCCTTTTGTCAGAAGTCCCTTGATCGCACTGGTCTAACATCTCAATCTGCTCCAGGACATCCCTGAAAATGCGCCGCCTTAAACTTGAGCAGAGTCGTCGGTGTTGGCAAGATTTTTGTTATGGTACGGACAAGATTTGTTTCCATTCCTATTCTCCCTCATAATGCCATTGCCCCACTCGAAGCCCCTTTTCTGTTTCCCGAAACGAGTTCTACCTTACGCTACCCGGAGGCAAAGGTTCGCGGTGACTTCTATGCTTGCGTCCAATTCTGTTCCTTGCAACGGTGGCTGCGTCGCTTTCGCCTTAGGAAGGACTCTGAGGCGAGGTTGTAAGGTTATAAAGCGGCCCAGTGGGCTTGCGGCATCGGACGTTTTTTGACTGGTCGTCTACAGAGGACCTAGGCGGGAAGGTTACGGTGCTGCTCCTAATATCTGCGTTTCTTTAGGGAGGCCCACAGTCCAACACCTGATAGTTGTCCTCTAAAGTACGTTGTCGCGCTTCTGACACAAGTAGGCTTCCACGGTGTCATGCTCCCATATGGTGATGTTGGCCTTCGGGATGCCAGTCTGATGCGACACGCTTTCTTTTACCCAACCCAGTCTCGAAGGAGCGAGCCTCGTGTCACGCGCTGTTTTCCTGGCGGGTCCTAATAGAACCTCTGGTGCTCTCTTGGTACGTGTGGCGCCGACATACTTGCCTTCGTTGGCCCCAGGCGAGCGCGTGTTCGTCTGCAGTTTATTCGGAGGAGGGCGGCAGGATTATGCGGAATGGTATTATGGGCGCGATAAGTCCTCTGACTGTACGGAATAATGTTCATATTCAGCAAAGTGCACTGCGCCAGTCGGAAGTAGGCGCCCAACAATTGCTATTAGTATTACTGTTGGCACGCTGCTCTAATCTTTGGGGTTGGGCTTGGAAAGACAAAGGATGGTGAAGTGTTGGTCCTCTCCATTGGCGTTTGCACGGAGGGAGGGCTGAGGTGTTGGGATCAAGGTTATTACGGAAAAAGGCAGCCGGTTCGTCTATCAGTTCGTTTTGGAGGCCTACACTTACGTCGTGCAGAACCTTCCAGATTGGTACGCAGGGCGACGGTCCGACCGTCGATTCTGGTGTGCACAGAAAGGTGGCGACGGCTTGAACAGCGCCTGCCACACTCTTCCCCACGTGGCCTGGTGTCAAGACAGGACCGGAAGTGGGAGGACGCGCAGATGGTTGGCGTGGCCGGAGGCGCGCCGTTACCCAGCTCGGATCCCACGGAGGTCACGTTAAGGAGCCATTACAGCCCGACCAGGTGCATCAGTCCTCCACTCCACACACATACACGCTAGGCATCGACAGTGTGGTCAGGGGTAGTCCTTGTCGTGGGGTCTGAAGTCACTCTTCACTGCCCTTCTCCCGGCCGGGCTTTCCACGGCGAGGTCGTCACAGGTCCCCGGGTTGGTGTGCAGCCGCATCACAGAGTTCAGTATTCTTGTAGCGTCGTTCTTGTTCTGTCGGCGAACACCCGTAACGACATCCTCCATCCTCACCAGGCGGCCGTTCCATCGCATTTGCGATTTCTTAAGCATGACGTGGATGCTGAGGACTCCAGTCCGTACTAGGACTTCCTTGTCCGGGATCCTGCCCTGCCATCTCAGTTTCCGTATCCTGCAGAGGCAGCTGGGATTGGAACGATTCAGGTTCTTGGCACGATCGGAGTGCACGATCTAAGTTCGCTCTCCGTACGGAAGTGTCGTCAAGACGACTGCCTCATTACCTCCCGCTTGGTGTTCATTTGAAGGCCATGCGGATTCCACACGGAGCCTTGCAGACGTCTGAAGGCCTGGCTGGCTTTGGAGATCAGATGAGCAACCTCGTCATCGATTTATATGCTGCGCGAAAGTGTGCTTCCCAGGTAAGCGAAGTCGGCCGTTTTAAGTTAACTGCCGCTGGCATTCCGTTTTGGGTGACGGTTGGTACATGACCACCGGTTCGTCCGCGTTGATTTTCTGTCCGAAGTTGGTGCATCCGGCTACGAAGAGGTCAGTGTTCCTTTGCATTTCCTCTTCGGTCGTAGTGTTGGCTGTACAGTCGCACGCGAATTGTAGGTTGTGGAATATGGTCGTAGATAACCGCACCAGGGTTTGCATGCGCCCGTTGTTGAGATGGTACCCGAAAGTCCTGTACGCGATGCTTATCCCAGGTCGCTCATCACGGTAGACGTTCGTCAGCATGGCAGAGTATATGAGACTGGAGACGGTTGAGGGAAAGTACGCAGTCCTGCTTAACTCTTTGGTTACTGAAAATGCTTAAGAGGTGGTACCATTGTCCATGACGTGCGCCACCATCCCGTCGTGGAGCTGACGCGACGTGACTCAGAACAGCTGAGTTCCTGCATTATTTGCCGCAGTCCTTCGTGATTCAACGTGTCGAAGGCTTTCCTCGGGTCCACGAAAGTATTGCAGAGGTGGGTTCGCAGCTCTTGGTACCTCTTTTGTAGCTGTGATTGTCACAAAGTTGCCGGTCCCATTTTCACTTGTAGGGGTGGGCGATTGTCGCGTCCTTGAAATCCTTGGGGGCATGCCCTTGACGCCACATCTGGAAGAGCGCTGTGAGGCGATCCATCAGTCGGTGGCCGCCGTGCTTGTGGATTTAAACTGGAGTCACATCGAAGCCGGGTGTTTTTGCGCTGGAGAGTTGTTGCACAGCGGGGTTGGTTTTCGGAAGGGAGAGCAGGAGATGCAGGTCGATGTTGGTTTCCTTTAGGAGCCGGGCGATGGTGGCGATGATGGCTAAGGGTGATCGAGAACACTTTTAACTGGCCGATAGGAGCGAACAGGCGAGTTCCAGGAAGTAGTTCAGAAGAAGATAAAGATGCAGTCACCAAAACAAGAAATTTATTGGCCTGACGTCTCGGATTCTCACTCGAACTCATCATCAGAGACGATTGCAGATAGAGGTAAAGATCTTTATCTGCAACCGTCTCCCATTAGGGATTCGAGTAAGAATCCATAACGTCAGGCCAATTAACTTCATGCTCCAGTGATCGCATCTTCGTCTCCTGAACTTCGGAAGGGCTCGGCCCAGTTTCAGAATCTGCGACTTCTCGGTTAAGAGCGTTGTTCCGTCGGTGTTATGAAGCGAGGCGGTTCCTTTGTCTACGGGGCCGTAGATGGACTTGATTGCTGCGAAGAAGTTCTTTGATTCGTTGCGGCCCGCATACGCTTGTATCACCCCGGCCTTATGAACCATTCAGCGCCCTACATCTCTCGTAGCTTGCTGCACAAGACGGCGACATTGGTGGAAGGACGCATTGTTGTCATTCGTCGGACGGTCAATATAGGCCCTATTCAGCGTGTTCTTTTCAATAAGCGGGTTGCTGATGGCTGCGTCGTTTTTGTCAAACATTCCTGGTACTGACGATCTGTTCGTCCGAGGCGATTGATTGGACACCGTCCTGCAGTTGGCACCGTTTAGTCTCAACGGAGGCCTTTGCATTTGGAGTTTGCTGGTCTTCCAGTCGCTGGGTCAGTTGACCGCCAGAGGGGAGACAGTGGCAGGCAATTTCAACAAAGCAGTATTTAACTTACCTGGTGGTCATACAACTTGTGGTCTCCTGTGGGATTGCAGTCGGAGCCTCCTCGTGAGGATGACGAGGCGGCGATCCGTCCAGCCTTTGGCGTCGCAAATCGCCCTGGTCACCAGCACGTCCTCTCGATCTCGCCGCATGAAGAGGATGTAGTCCAGCAGCTGACAGTGCCACGATCGGAGGTGCCTCTAGGCCGCCTTCTCCCGCGTCGGTGCTCGGGAGGATATGTCAGTCAGAAAGAGGCGTTGCGCCGCGTAGGTTCACAGAAGGAGGCCGTTTTCGTTGTAGTTGCCCATTTCGTGGGGACCTGGCGCTCCATACTAGGCATTCTGGTCTGTCTCGGCGCGGACGTTGAAATTGCCAAGGATAACTAGTTTGTCCGCCTTCGGCACAGACGCCAGGAGGGTAAGCATGTTCTCGTAGGATTTGTTCTTTTCCTCGTCAGGACTAGTCACGGGTGGAGGGAGGTTGGGGTTCCAGGCGTTGATGATAGTGGCGAATTTGGGTCACCGAAAATTCAGGCTCAGGGTCATCAGTCGGTCGTTGATGTCCTGCGTCAGACAGCGCAGTCGTCCCACGATGTCGTTCCGGATGTTAAAGACGACGCCAGCGTCGCGTCGCTCCGCCTTTGCGTACCGACTTCAGTTGTCCTTTTTGGATAACCGGGTCTTGCTGAGAGCAGCGGCGTCCACACTGTTGCGCGCCAGTTCTCGAGACCAGCGCCGCCATCCATTCCGGTCGATTGTTCTTCGGATTGTTTAAAAGAGGACGAACATTCCAGGCCTTCAGAGTGATCAGACTCACTCTAGCGGAGGGGTGGGGTGGGGACGGGGGTTGTTGTTTGTTTGAGTGTCTCGACCGAGAGTTTTCCATCTACGAGCCACGGCGTAGCAGCGGATGCCGTGGTTTCCCAGCATTTGTTCAGGGTACATTTTCTAGTCCCTTCCTCCCGCCAGGAGGTAAGCAGTGCTGTCCCTAAATAGGGTTACTGGGGCGTCCCAGACGACCACCGAATTCTAATATGGGTCACGGCCTTAGTGAAGAGCGGCCCGAATTGATCTGAGTCGCCTACGGGATTGCATGCCGCCTTCTCCGTAGGACTTAAACGTAGGGGGGGGGGGAGGAGGGAGGCGGGATGGGAAGGGGGGCAAAATTACTGGGTGTTGAGGCATACACGACACCG